TCCAGAAACAAGTGACATATTATATAAGTCAAGTGTGTAATGCACATATTTCTGGGTGTTCTTGGTTCCCCACATTTTTGTGTTGGGTTCTTACTTTTATCTTCATTCACTCATTCATTCCTTTGATTTGTTCCTTCCTTCCTTCCTTCATTCCTTCCTTCATTCATTCATTCCTTCATTCATTCATTCATTCATTGATTCATTGATTCATTGATTCATTGATTGATCGATTGATTGATTCCTTCCTTCCTTCCTTCATCCATCCATTCATTCATTCATTCAGTCAGTCAGTCATTCATCCATCCATTCATTCATTCATTCTTTCAATCATTCATTCATTCATTCTTTCTTTCTTTCATTCATTCTTTCTTCTTTTTTTTTTCATTCTTTCATTCTTTCATTCATTCATTCAATCAATCAATCAAACAATCAATCAATCAATACTTTCTGAATCTAGGCGTTCCTCCTGCCAATGCATTTTTCCTTTGGTCTCCTAACTTTTTTTCTTTCCCTCTTGCTGCTTGCCCCGCAAAACAACTTCACATGCGGGGTAAGTACTTTACTCAATGTCGCGATTTGTTGCGCACTTCGATTGACGTTTAGGTGTTGAAAACGGCCACTGTTCTTCACACAGAAATTTCAACCCAGAATTTGCGCAATGACACTTTGGATGCAGTTACAGTTGAGCTCCTGGCACGTTTTCTCTTCGACACCCCTTGACTGAGCTGGTGATTTTACCATGAACTCAGAAAAGGACGCTGACCAAGTGTTTGTGTTTGCAGACCACGGTGTTCCCTCTCATCTGGCCGATGCAGGATAGGGGCTGTCTACATTTCAATGTCAGAAGCCCTGACTGACCTGATGTTCGAGTCGGTGCCTTCCCAGCTGTCAAAGGACTGGATTGTGTTGTTCTGATACTGGCCTTGAGGGCATCTCCCTTCCTACGCAGGACATCAGCCAGACTTTGCAGCAAGGCAAACGTGTGCCAGATGATCTCGTACCTTGGTGCAAAAACACCCGTCCTGCACTCCTGCACCGATGAAAGACAGAATAATCCATTTTGGACCTGGTTAGTTTTGTGACAGTCGCACTTGCTTGATCTTGCTTGCGCTTAAGGGCCTTCGCTGTCCAGTCTGTGTCCTTGAAAACCAGTCACCCAAGACGTCACCCAAGACGATCAGCTCACACAGATGATCAGCTCAGGTGATTCAGGCACTACGCTTTCGACTCTTGTCTCCCGATGTCTTGCAGCGCGGGTGGGTCTTAGATGATTTCCCGTGCACCAGGGCACAGGCGGGATCCGGGGATCCGGCGGAGCAAGCACCGGAGTTGGTTGCGACGCGGTTGCGTCGTTGGGCACGAGGTGAAGCACGTGACACCGCCGGATCTGCGGATCTTTCTTATCCGTCACCGTCGCCCTTTGCTTGGTGACGATAGACAAGTGTAGCAAAGCACCCTGCGCCGACTTGCTGTCAGCCAAGGGTCCAGGAGAGCCACAACTGTTCGCCTCTGTGATGGTATCGGTTCGCCTGTCGAATCGGGTGGCAAGCAGTTGACATGCCGTCATTCCAAAGAGTCACCACCCCAAAGCACGAAGAATCCCTGGGTCCTTAGTGAGGACTGATTGGGAGTTGCTTTGTGAGACATGGCTTAAAAGTCTATGATTTGCATATATAGATAAATTACTTGATTTGTGCACAAGCACAAAGTGCTCGCTTCAACTCCCGTTTGTGAGGGACTTTTGCTGCAGCTGTGTTGGAATTTTCCAACTACCTACATTTATCAACTCATTCTCTTGGATTTGAAATTTGGTCAGCTTCACAGACTTTTTGACTGAGCTTGGTACAATCCATCTCAAAGGCAAACCCCGCACGTACCAGGCAGAAGGTTTGGCGGCGCTTGGCATTGTACCACACCGCGTGTTCATGCTCCTGGCACCAGAGGCGCGTTCGGTGGGGGGACCCTCGCACTGCCAAAATGACGACTTCTGTCGACTTCCTTTTGGCAGGCGGCGATCTTCGGAAGAGCTGCAGAATTGAAGAAATCTCCAGTCGAAGGCATGACGAAGATTCGTTGAGTGTTTTACTATTATATATGTGGCCTTCCAAGTGAACAGAGACACCTACGCCGTACGCCAATCAACTTTGTGTTTATGCATTCCTGAGTTGAAAGAAGGCAAGCTGTTCTCCACCGCGTGGGAAACACATCTGAATAACTCGCAGCTGGGGCCATCATGCCATGTAATGGGCAATGCAGTTGAGGTCAGGAGCTGCAGCAGGAACTTGCGCTTCAGCGTGAGCGTTTGGATGCCTTCCATTCGCTGAGCCCCGCGCTGCGCGTGGGGATGACTCAGCGAAGTTGAGGAGCTGCCGATGGGTAAAACGAGTGTATTTATATAAATAAGGAGACTTCCCAGTTCGACTGGAAGAAGAAAACATACCCAAACCCATTGGTTGGGGGTCTCCACACCCTAGCCGATCTCTGATTATCCCAGCCAAACGATCTGAGGGCAGTAAAACTTTCTCGGACAGAGATCCTTTGCTTCTTTGATTGTCGACATTGGCACAGCAAAAAGATCTCTGTCCCAAGTACACAAGAAGGAACGCTTGGAGGGAGGTCTGACAGTTGTTCTCAAAAACAGACACCTTTTATCTTTTCAATTTTAAATCAGTCCGATCACGAAGGGGATTTCAGGTCGGTGATCTTTCGCCCAGACACCGAACGCAGAGCAGCCATCGAGGTGTTCTACGCCAGCATCTTCGACAACCTCCGGGATATCGATGCATCGAGGTGTGGCTTGTTGGTCCATTGGCGACACCACCACATCTACCGATGGGTGTTGGTCCGATGTAGATGTAGACGCTGCTAGTTCACGAGATGCGCCAGGATGTCGAAGAAAAGAGGGTTCAGGAAGCACTGAGCTATTTCATCTCAATGCATTTCCCATTCGACCGCGCGCAACTGGGCAGGTCCAAATGGGCAATCTTCGACCGCGCGCTCGAGGCTGATCCGAAAAGATGGTGTTTCACAGCTGAGTGCCAAAACTTGATGGATCAAAAACTGGTCAATGCATTGGTTCAGACATCGGGTGAAGAGTTAGTAGTTTGCACAACATGGTGTGTATTTTGGCTGACTGGAAAGGGCACTGGTTAGAGGTCCACTGTCCACTGTCCGCTTCACAGACTGGTGCCATTCACTGGATGTGTGATGTTCCAGACCGGAACAGCGTATACGCCACGTTGCATCGTACGAACGGCCCATCGCGTCGTTTGGAACGGCGGCTTGCACCCGCCGTTGCCCAACGCGGGTGTTTTCTCTGTCAACTAGTAGCGATGCACTTGTTACTAATAGCTTCTTGTTACTACTAGTAAGGCACTTGTTACTAGTAGCGATGCACTTGTTACTAATAGCTTCTTGTTACTACTAGTAAGGCACTTGTTACTAGTAGCGATGCACTTGTTACTAATAGCTTCTTGTCTCACTTCGGGTTGGCTGTTCTTCACTTCGCCTTCCTCTTCGTAGGAGACCACCTTGAGCCTCCGCGAGCGCCTCCAGTATTACCGCCGCACCGCCATGGGCGACTCGCGAGATTATCCGGAGGAGTGGTAGGTCAGCGAGTGATGGGCGGAAAGTATGTAAGAGGGGTGGGAAAAAGGCGGATTGTGATGCTTCACTGTTTTTGATGATATATATAATGATGAGTTCTGTGGTCACTGGTCGAGTTGGCCTCCCTGGTCCTTGGGTGTCTACACCAGAAGAATTGGACTGACACTCCGACTGACATGGAAGTGGAAAACCAGTGTTTGTAGAGGAAAATGGTCATCCAAGGGGCCATCTTCCACTTCCATGTTAGTGAGTTGGAATGTAGAGTATTCTTTGTAAGACCACTTGTTGTGACTCTTCGAAACAACGAAGGGGTGGGTCGTTCAACAATCTGATTGGAATAGTTCTTCCATAAGTCGTACGTATCAAAATGGTGAGGTGAGTATTCCAAGATATTCCAAGTGCAATTCCAGGGATATTGTCTTCAGGTCGCCCTGGTTCCTTCGTCCTTCATCTCTCAAGATCGAACGAAGTGGGCGCGACGTCCCCGAACAGGTGCAATCAGTGTGAGGTCTGAAGGGGCACTGTTTTGGACGTCCAGCCAGGCACTGGTTTATGTTCAAGGATGTTAATGGTACATAATGACCAGGTTGGACCTTGAATTCAAGCCAGATCAGATTGGACCTGCTTCCTGGACTAGTTGGACAAAGAAACGCATTGGACTTCCTCTTTTTTTTGCATATCAAAGTTGCATTGTTGGATTGTTTATTCCTTCACTGGCGGTCCAAGAACCACAAAACATCACTATACTGAAGTTGTTTCCATCCAGGAAATCTTGGCTAAACGCAGTTTCATGTGCCTCAGGTATGGCTACAAGGGTGAAAGGCATGTGCTTCACTAGTGTTCGCTTGGAGAACGTCTCCGGCTGGACACTTGGCACTGCAAAGCCTGGCACATGAATGAGTCCTCGAACGACTCAAACCCAGCTCGGTAGGTGGATTAGTCAGATTAGTAACGATGCCCTGACTAGGGAAAGGCGACTTGGGTCATTGGTTGGTCAGGTTGCAGCACTTGTTCAGTTGATTCTGCTGTGTGCTGTTCTATGTGCTTGTTTCTCGGAGGCCGCGTTCTGTCTCACCAATGGTATGACAACTTCACAACCACCCACTTTCATATATACTTCTGGTATCTTTTGGCTTGCTGAAGCACCAGACATCTGCGGACGCACCTTGTCTGCGTTGCAGACTGTCAGGAAGCACTACTGCCCAGTGAGCTTGTCCTTACAAAACGAGTTGGTGCCCAGCTTTAACCGCCGCTGCGCAGTGGAATATCACTCCAAGGCCTGAAACTTGGTGATGAACACTAGTACGGATGCCCTTTGTTACTAGTAGCTTCTTGTTACTAGTAGTAATGGCCTCCAATGGCATTGGGACCAAACATGCGCCGAGGTGTACTGGATGGCTTCGGACGAGTATGCTGAGCTCTTTGCGGAAGATCCAGAGGTGGGGCCTTTTTGTGAGATCCAAAGGTCATGGTCTCGTGCCGAAGTTGCAGAGGCTAAGGTGCATTTGAAGTGCAGTAAGAGCTTTTGGCTAGAGGAGACCTTGCATTTGAAGTGTTTGCCAGTCCTCTGTCGGACAGCTGTGGTTCAAGACGAGTGCGGCCTTTTTGGTCTCTCAACTAGTGTGTTTTTCGTGAAAGCTAGCTTGCTTCATCGACTGTTGTGAGCTCAATCGATATTTTGGCTCTCTGCCGTTTCTCTGCGACAGGCATTCTTACAGGTTCCATTGCCGCCGAACTTGCCTCGGCTATTAGATGATGCTGAACGTGCGCGAAAGGCCGGAGTCTATATGGGCGGCGCTAGTGAGGCCATGACTAGTAGCAACAAGAAGCTACTGTTTCTTTGGAAGATTGAGGCAGATGTGAAGACAGAGCTCAAAGACTTCTGTCCTGTGGCCTTGGTCGAAACTGGAGAGCTTGTGAAGGTGCCCTGGTCTCAAGCAAGCACACCATCCCGAGCCATTATGAGTTGGTTTCAAGCAATTCTGATAGCAGAAAGACATCCACACTTCGATTCTACCTTCCCGTATACGGGCCACTTTTTAGACTGATGATGAGGGTCGAATTCTCTCTGTCTGTAGATCAGTATTGAATGCTTGGATACGCAGCTTCTGATTGCTTTTCAAAGCTTGGCTCAAAAAGCCAAAAAGCTTCCAAGGCATCCCGTTTCTACATGGTGGAGTACAACCAAAATCTCTTCCGGTTCAGCAGTCGTGAGGCAAATTCCAGTCTGAGATGTTGCTTCTGTGCTAGCTTCTTTTTGCTCGAGTCGTTAGGTGAACTCATCCGAGTTTCCTTTTTGGCGGCTTGGTGTTCTACACCTGAAATTCCTCATCCTTGCCAGGAATTCAAGACATTCAGAGGTTCAGGTCATACTGCAGCTAACCAACTAGTAACTATATAGTCTTGATCAACGGTTTACTATGGTTTACTATTCTTCTTCTGACCCGAACCCGGTCTCGCCCCTCGCGCCGGCGGAAACGGTTTCCCGTCGCTTGCTCAAGCCAGGCAGCCATGAAGTTCATGCGTCAGCCGATGCGCTACCGAACCGCCAAGCTTCCGCCCAAGCTGCCACCGGAGGCGTGTGTTTTGGGTCATTCCTTTTGGTTGGAGAACACAAGATTCCGGGAGGTTTTTGTTTTAACATCGCATGCCAGATGGGCATGCCTCCCAGCCGATGGGAAGATATGATCATCCCATCCAACCTGGTTTTTGACGGTCCACAGTGTTTAACAGGCCGCGAATCTGTGCTCCATTGACTTGCAACCGGATTTGCGTTTGGAGTGGAGTAACAAAACAAACCTTATCGGAGATATACCCATTGACTCATTGGTTTAAGTAGGGATCATAACGGAATATATTCCTTGATTGGCCAATTAGTAAAGGCATTTTCTCTTTTTACCAAGGCTCACCTAGACTGCATGCATGGGACGACCCGTTGTCACCAGCTCCTGCAGGTGTCGAAAGAGGAGCGATTGGCAGTCGGCAACCCAGCAACGACGCGTGACACATCACCCTTCAGCCTTTGGGAGGTATTTCTTGGCTGAAGAGAATGCAAGTGTTTCCAACTCTCAGCGGTTTGTTGGCTAAGGCACCCCTGCTGAGCAGCTTGATCAAGGGCAAGGACCCGCACAGATTCTTGTATGTGGACCTTTCTTGTTCAGTCACAAGACGCCGCCATTTCACGCTTGTCAGAGATCCCCCTTATAGTGGCCGCTTGCAGCAAAGTGATTTATGGCTTTTCTGAAAGAGGGTATGGCTTTTCTGAAACCATTTTTTAATTTCCTCATGCCCTGAAAACTGAAACCTGGATATTTGATCCAGGATGGTCGGGGTCTGCAGCCATCGGACATGGTCACCTACATGGAGGTGGATCTGCAAAAGTTGGGATTCTGTGTGAACGTCTGATCTTGACCTACATGCTTTGGTTTGTCGGCGCATGTTCTTGTGAGGCTAGTGTGGCAGAGCTCATTTGCCAGGGCTTGGTGGAAACTGGCGAGTGCAGGAACCGACTTTTCGACTTTTCGATGCGCATAGTGCCTTTCAGCGCAGCGCCTTGC